CTGAGCGGAGATAGTCATCGTATGATTGCGAGCAATTGACATTTGAAACCGGAATTAGCTTTAAATGCAAATCTAATTTATATAATAAACACATTAATCGAAATGATTGACTCAATCGATAGCTTAAAGACTCAGATATGACCGCAACTATTGTCAAGTCATGTGAAGTACTTTTTATATCATTTTCTACCAATTCATGCAAATTCCACATCATTTCAAACACTAATTTAGACGTTTTATCGATAATTAAAGGCTTAGAGATATCAGAGTTATCGGTGGCAACAGTAGTGTTGTCCTTAAATACGAGTCTTCGGTCACATGTTTCACAAAAATCAGAGTTTTGAGCAAAAGTTAAGAGACTTTCAAACAATTCATCAGTTATTGAACTGTAGTTCAAATAAACACAAGACTTATTCATTAGTTTGGACACCGACTGAGACACTCTCTCCAGTCTCTCACGCGTCAGTCGATTCTTAGTCTCATAATTAACGCTAACTATTAAACACTTTTCATAGCAATTAGTTTCATGAGTCTTGGAGTTCAAATCACAAAACTCTTCAACAAGTCTTTGGGCAGCAGTTTGTCTACAAATAAACAGTTGAATACGTCTTCCACGCCCGGAGTCTATAATATTGTATTTGATGACCGAAAAGGTATCCCATTTAACACTGTTGACCACCAATTGATCACAAAATTGAGTCAAATATGGATTCAAAAAATTGAGTTTTGGCGGCAAATGGACTGAAAAATCTCCCTTAGATTTGCAGCCATTCTCGTGGTTTACGTAACACTTNGATTTGCAGCCATTCTCGTGGTTTACGTAACACTTAAATCCATACTCTCTCGGATTCACTGGACTATTAAAAAATGACTCAAACTGTGAGACAATCTCTTCATCCAAACCACTATTTGTCACACAATTTAACAGAAATTGATTCAAACTGTCGACAAATCTGTCGATTAGTAAGTCTTTGTCTGACATTATTAATGACACTAAATGTACTAATTATCAGTGAATAAGTCTTTGATATAATGGTCTAAAACTAGAAGTAAAACAAATCAATGCCCGGATTGCGGAATCACTTGAAGAGCTCATTGAGACCGTCATTAAGTCCCTCACGATTTCTGGCGACTTCGATGGCCACGAACTGAACCCTGGGAACCACTATTGTATTGGATTCGCTGTAATCGTTTCTGGAGTCTAGTCTCAAAAGTGTGGCGAAATTGAAGTCCTCGACAAACTCTTGCATATCATTGCAATACTGACGCCATTGTATCTTCGCTGCGGAGAACAACACAAACAGACAATCAATACAAGGACACGACAATCAAGTGATCAGTTGGTGGTGACAAACCTTCATCGCATTTGAGTGTCTCCTCAGTCAACGACTTGATGTCCAGCTCTTTGAATCGGTCTCTGAATGTCTGGTAAATGATGTCATCGTTTTGGGTGAGTCTTAAGCCTGTAGTGGATGGCATGGATGAGATAAGTTTGAAGTAGACCTCCATATGGTTGACAGCTTTGGTGAGCCATAAGGACT